CTTACTAGGATTAAAGAAATATTTGGATATGAAAAACAAAATCGAAAAAAATCCGAAAACCTGAAAAAATCGAGATTAAAAAAATCGACTTTTGTTGGTTTGGTCTTTAGATTTAATAACCCGACACAATTGGTTTGGTTTGGTAATTGAAAAACCCGAACCAACCCGACCTACGTATACCCCTAGCAGCAACTTTACCAGTTACGTCAAAGCTCGCTTCCAAATTGATTATACACAGTTAAATTATAAATTGATTATACACAGTTATCCATATATTAATATGTATATAGACCATACATATATTATATATTTATTACCTATATATTTTTTTAAAGTCATTAGGGGGGCAACTATTTAGGTGAATTCTTCTTCTAAAAATACCATATGATTAAACAAACAAACAAACAAAAAAGATTAATAGTTACCGAAAGGAATTGTTTTTAAAAAAATAAGTGAGGTGGAGAAAAAGAGCAAGAATGCATATTCACGGATTCATGAGAAAACGTGATGGGGATTAGCTGTGTTGTGTCATTTAATTAACCGGAAGACACTTGTTAAGGTTACTGATTTTAAACGTTAATTTAATTTGAAAAAGTGCTATCACTTTAGAATGATAGTGAAACCCTTGCAGTAATCAACTTAAACATATATATGCTAGTAGTAATTAAAATTAAAAGACACTTTCGAGCTTGTCCAATTGACCATCTAATTGAACGTGGCATATATATAGAACTAATACACCCTTGAACTTTAATCAGGATAAATTTAACTATTAAAAGAGCTAGCAATGATTAAGCTAATGACAACTACATTGTTAATCTTCAGCTTACACTTAATAAAATTAGTAACGTGCAACTATTTTCTACATTCGATGTGGCAAGTGCCAACTGTCAAGACATTGTTTTTGTTTAATACTTTTTTTTTCATTCTTAGGTAGAAAAATGATTTCACAAACTAATTATCCATGTTAGATTTTGAATTGTTTTGGTGGAAGTGTATATTTGTTTCAGTTTACTATCTCTTGGTTCCTTAAAGGATACACTTATGTCATGTCTCATACTCCAAGCACAAAATAAGCAATTTATATATCAAAAAAGAAGAGGAGTGTGACAACACAAAATGACTTATTTTTGGAGTAATTTTGACTATATGTGTAGTTGTATTTGAACTCATAATATTGTTATTCAAATAGTGATGTCTTTACCACTAAATTGTCATGGCGAAGAGACCACATATATATGGTTGAATATGTCAAATTATGGGGGGGAAATGGTCTCTTGTGGCCGCTCACAATTTGAATAGAAGAAAATGATCTTTTCAGATCTCTTGTGTGTTATTTTCATATTTTTTATGTGTAAAACTTCATATCTCTTAGACATAAAACTAAAATAAATTTGTAAAGGATTACAAAATCAATTCTTCCGGATTTTGATTCTTAATCCCTTTAGTTTCCTCTCTCTCGCTCTAGTAAGTCATATTTTCTTTAGCGATTTCTTGTGTAACTTAAAAAAGAAAATAAAAATGAAATTGGCTTATATAGGTCGTAAATAGTAGACTTTAGTTACTTCAAGTTATGGATAAGATTAGCAAATGGCTTGTTCCTAATGATCTGACAACTAATATTTCTTTTTCTTTCTTTTTTAATGGGCTGACATTTTATGAATTCCTAATAAACGTTACCTAAAATGAATTTTGGTTTGAGTCAAAAGACAGAAACATGTGGCTTAGATCATTCTAAATAGTTGACCTTTCCTCTATTGGAGAGAGTCACTGTGGCAATCTTGATTTAACGCATTAAGTCAGAGACGTTTGACTTTAATTTATAATGAGGAAATTAATTTTGATCATTTGCATGTCCTAGCAGATCAAATAATTCTGCCATTTTCGAAGTAAAAGTCAAGAAAAGATTAATAGATTATATCCACATTCCAATGTGGAAAGAACAAATACTATACTCCAAGAAGGAATTAACTTGTTCTTTCCAAAGTTGCCCTTGGAGTAAAGAGTTAGGAGTAGTTTGTTATATATTTCCAATAAGCAAATTAAGGTTAATATTGTCAATTTTATTATTAATTAATGCTAAATGGGTGAATTTCTTAATATGTTGTAAAAAGAACCAAAAGATCATGGACCGGAGGGAGTACTTATTAGTTATTCGTGTTCGTATATATATATGCAGTATATTTAATATTCATATGTTTATAAAGATCTCAGAAGTCTTAATTTTAATAAAAATATTGGGGCTTAAGTTAAGCTCCCTAAGAGCTTGACATTTTTTTACTTTATTTTTTATTTATATTGTTATCTGTTTTTTTGCCAAAAAGGAACTAGAGAGATTTANATGCTTCGAGTTGGCCACCTTCCAAGCATTTGGATGCACACACTCACGAAGTGCATTAATTTATCTATTTTAAATAAATGTTTGCTTAAGAACTCGTTTAAGTAGCTGCATGTCCATAAATCATTAGAACTATATATTGCCATATTGGCGTTAATGATTGAATAACGTGCCTTAATCATGTGAATAAGAGTGTTGCAAGTTTAATACAGTTAGGCCCCATATAAAAGGAAGGAATATGATTAAAGTACATGCCCAGATTATAGTATTTTATATTATAGTTCAGAACTGCTAATTCAATCTTTTAAACTCTTTATCTATCGACTAAATTTTGCAGTACTTATTTGGCTTACAGAGTTTTTTTTTTTTTACATAAATATTTCAGCGAAAAGAGATCTTGGCCTTAAAAATCTGTCTTCACAAGTTGGGGATTTAACAAGTTTTATGTAGATTGATAGCTTAGCACGACATTCTTCCTTTATTCGAATTGAAACCGGTAATATAAGCAAAGCTCAACAGGCAGAGTCTTTACTTATGAATAAAAGTCGTATTCTCATCTTAATCTGAGTTGCCCATTAATAATCAGAATGAGGGAGATAGAGAGAACAAAATTTAAATGCTTCATGTATGTCTTAGCCACTACAAATTGAAATCATAAGCATGAAAAGTTCCTTCTCCTTTTCGTGTTGTTTGATCTGTCAACTTCACAGTTCTAAACAGAAAACTGAAAGAACTAGCTAAACAATGACACAGATCAGAGCTCATTACTTCCTTTATATTCCCCACTGTAGTATGAAAATAATATGTTTCATATGATCAAGCTAGAATTTTCTTGTTTAATGGAAGTGATTCATTTGTTAAATGTAGTGGCTATTTTGTTTCCTCTAACTCAGTTTTAACAAACTACTAGAAACAAGTTCCACAAACTTCTTTTCAACAACTCTTTTTTGTCATCATCCACCGAAATGCCTACAAAGATAATTTGTTACACTCCAAATTAAATGAAGTCTAGAGTTTGACTAAAAAAATCCAGGACCCAGAAAAGCCTTCTCAATTGATTTGACAAGATGAGAAAGGAATCTTGAATCTGGTTCAATAATTTTCTCTTGTTCTTTGTTTTTAATGAGCAAAATAAGAACTTTATCAGATTCAATATGGTGTTGCTCTAAACAACCAATCCAAAATTGAAACCTTAGTCAATTGTAGCACAATCAAGTAAGTCTTACAGAAGGCCACATTTTAACTTACACTACAGAAAATTGAAGAACTCAACTTCAAGACTTGAGATTTGAGAATGAGATAAAACTCCAAACAAAGAGATCATTGAACCATTTCGATTTCAGTCATAGGCTAATAATGCTCTGGTATAAATTTGATGACTGGTTCAGTCGAGATTAAATGCGAATGCGACTCTGAAGTTACCCATCATCTAAATTACTGTCCTTCCACCGATTATATATTTGAGATGCACATCTTAGACAACTTTGTAAGTTACTAGAATGTTAATATGATGGCTACTTCTTGAATTTGACATATACCTTCACCCTCTTCACTTTTACATTCGTTTTTCAGTTGATTGGAGTTATGATCACTGGCAGCACTAAAGAAACTTTAAGGAGCTTAACCAGTTTTAATAAGAGTTTCTTCACCCAGAAGAAGTCTGGCCGAATATTTGAAAAGCGGAGAATGTAAGTGACTATGGCAAAGTGCCCTTTCTAAAGAATCATGGATGACAGCCTTTAGGATATAGCAAAATGCACTTTCCAAAAAGACATACGGATGAAATTGCTTCCCTCAAAAAATGAAAACCACCCACAACCAAAATTTTACAAGCTCTTATTTAATCCCTGAACATATGCTCATTATCGGTACTTTTAACAAGTCTGCTATGGGGTTACACAAGTTACACTTTATACTAATAGAATGAAAAAATTGTACGGGGAAGAACATATGTAATGTGTCTGAATTTTCATTATTAGGAAGGTGAACATTATATCAACAGAGTCACAAACTAAACATTACAGGAAGATATTCAATATCTACACATAGCCCTTACGTATATATATAACATGTAATCTCTGTGCTCTGTGGAACACTGAGGGGTCGTTTGGTACGCGGAATAAGGTGGGATAAGGTAAAGGATTAAATTTATATCATGTTTGGTTAATGGTACAAATCTATCTTGGGAGACTTAATACTGGATATCACACCTTATCCAATCAAACTTGGGAGGTGGGATAAATTAGTCTAGCGGGATTATAATCTCGGGATAATTTAGTCTGCGTACCAAACGACCCCCGAGTAATTACATCATATAAAAAACCTTTTAATTTCGACAAATTACTTTACACGTTAGCACTTGATGGCGTAAACAAGGTATGTCAATGGCTCGGGGTAGATCTTGTACATGGTATGTACAGGTCTATGCCTAGCAATTTCTCTAAGCTCCACACAACCGATTAGTTCTATGAACAATAGTGTGTGTGTCCTAATGAGAAAGAACAGCCTGCTCCATCAATAATGATACTTATACAATTTCAAGGAGCCAATATGAAACTAACGCACTTTCTCCGCCTCCTCGAAATGACTAAATGGGAGAGGGTAAAAGTTTACATCTCTGAGAAATCACCGCAAAAGGATATCGAAAGAAGAAAAAGCTCAATTGAGGCAACAATCAAAGTAATCTGGTTACCCAAGATCCATTCTTCTGCATTTCTTTCATTGTCCAACAAATTTGGCAAACATTTGGAGCTTACTTATGAATTCTAAAAGATTTAAATAGCTTACAGAATGTATGAAGTTAAAATAAACTTACATTCAAGGGCTTAAAGAGGAACTGACCCATAGAAAACTACCTCTGCTGGCCCCGTCATGTATATATGGTTGTCTTTCTCACTCCACTCAATGTCCAGAGGCCCACCAGGCAAATCAACAGTACACCGCTGTTTCCAGAATGGGAAAGGGAAATGATCAAAAAGGAGTAATCAATAACAAAAATAAATATATGGGACACGCAGACAGACATACTTGACATGATTATTGTTTTTACAACATTAACCTATAAAATTTATCAACTTCTTACCCTTGCAGCACGACCCTCGAGCACTGCTGCAACAACTACGGCACAAGCTCCTGTCCCACAGGCTAGTGTCGCGCCTATACTCGTCAAGGTTAAATACACAGTTATATTTAGTAGAAACTTGGTCTATCTAACACATCAAATATTTGTTGGTTAAAGGTCTATTTTTGTGTTCAGAAAACAAACCTGCACCACGCTCCCAGACATGCATTTTAAGGTGTGTTGGGGAGAAGACTTGTACAAATTCTGCAAATCAAACAAATATGTCATATTTAAATAAAATTGTAGGGAAAAATTCTGATCAAATGGTCATACCATGCACGTAAGTTTAATCTTTCTCTATCTATATCCATGGCAGGAAAGTGCATGAAGCTACAGAAATCGAGTGCATTCCCAATCAGGGAGCTACATCTTGAACATAAATGACAAAATTGAAAATTACTTGAGTTCATTCCCCTTATAGCTAAAATGATGTCGGAAGTGCACCTAAAGTGCAGATCCCACCCAAGAAAGTGCTAACAGAAACGGATGATGCATGCTGAATGACAACTACTCAGTCACTTTAGATCGTAAATGATAATCGAGTTCAATAACCATGAATGGCTTGCCAAAGTAGAGTACAGAGAACCAAACTGATTAACCAAAAACAGAATCTCGGGTATTTTTGCTTGCATTCAATCTTCATTTCTTTCCAAAGCCACAATGCCACATTATATAATAGAAACTAATTCTGCTATGTTTAGTTTTAAAATCCCAAAGGAAAGAACAATAATGTTAAAGAACCAGGGACCATAACCCCTAGATTTAGGAGATTCCAAATGAAAAATCATGCTAATTCAATCGAGACAGAGATGAGATAGAGATACCAAAAATTCTTGTTGTGAGGTTCAAAATCTTTTTATAACGAGAAAATAATAATGCTGTCGTGAAGATCATACTCGTGCATCATTAAAGAGATTAAAGTTCCCAAATTGATAGATTTAAACTGACCTGTGTTAGTGCGAGCAGGGAACATCACATGATGTTCAAACTTTGGGCCAATGTCTGCTAAATTCAATTCATCTACATGCAAATCCTGTTGCATGATAAGCAGAAAAAGGAAAAGCAATCAAGCCCAGAAATTGAGAGGGAGACACAAGACTGTCAAATGTTTCTGTTTTCTATTTCTGTACAAGCAGAAGCATACTGTCAATTAACGAAAGAATATATCAGATAACCACTAAATTCTTAGAATAGGAAAATGAAATGACTAGTTTTCATGGGAAAAAACGAAATTAATATCCAAAGAATATTTTACTCCAGTTCAGCAAGAAAATAACAGAACTGACTTGATTTCTTAGATAAAATATGAGATTTTTAAGAAGCTGATTTACAGAGTGAAAAGCTTGGTACAATGTTTAGCGCAACAATCTTCAGTTGTTCATTTCATAGAATAGCTTATTGAATCCTTTAAGGATAACATAAAATTTTACTTATAACAAGTCATCCAAAGAAGGATACCTGGCTTTGTGATGTAGCACTATCAGCCTTTGGTTCCACATAAATGATACCAAATAGAATTAATCCAAAGAAGGATACCTGGCTTTGTGATGTACCAAAAGTGACACAATGAGGATTTCCCATGCTGACACAGGTCACATTCCATTCACTTCCATCTACATCTAGTCTTGCTTTAACAACAGATTGATCTTTATTAGGGGGTAGTTTCGTGGGTACATCTGATGCCTTCAGAATGGGTTCACCCATGTCAACCCTAACCTGAAATTAGAAGCAAATATTAAATCTCAACAAAAAGGCAAACACGTGTGATTGCTTTACTATTTAATGCAAAGTAACCTGACATAAATCTTAAAAGGAGGAATAAAACATCAATACTGAATGCTTATAGCGTGCAATAGTTCCTACAATCAGCCAATCAACTATATCCAAACTAGTTGGGTTGGCTATTTGATATTACACATCCAATCTGCACAATCAATGCAATAGCGCTTTAATCTACTTAAATGGATGAGAAAAATGGATTTACCTTTCCATCTTCTTGAATCTCAGGAACAATAAGTCCAGCCCCTGTATGTATGGTGAAACTACAAGATTAAAAAGACATGACAGCCAATCAGAAAACTACAAGATTAAAAAGACATGACAGCCAATCAGTATCCACTATTTACCGAAACCATTTTCATCAGATGCAATCAAATGCTATTATCAAATTTAGGCATATAACAGGATAGGTGGGACATAACAATCATATTGACAGTTAATCAAACCTATCAATTATCAAAATCTAATTAAGCGCACTGAAAAACAAGGTGCAACAATGATTTTAATATGGTGATATATAACAAATATGATGTTAACATAAGAAATACGCTGCCATGTATCCTCACCAAAACCGAAGAGAATATGTAAAGACAGTAGAGCGGACAGTAGAAATTGTGAACTAAGCAACAACCAGAGATCCATATGATGACCATGGTGCAATCACTACCTCTCTCTAGCATCAGCTCTAGGCCTGGTGGTCTAGCTAACATGACTGGGTCTTACGGGTGATCAACAAACCTTTACTTTCTCCCCTTTCAGCTTACTTAACGGGCCTGATAATATTTCACAGTTACCCTTGGCAGTGAACAACAAACAAGAAGAAAAGTGACACCATCACTTTCTAATATAACTATTGCCCATAAAGAATATCTGCTTCAATCACCCAATCTGGCTCTTGTTTTGAAGTGCTTCTTAAAGTCCATGATGTCACCCTCCCAGCGATTCACAGCCTGATTGTCACATACCCATCTCATCGGCAACCGGGTTTATGAGCCTAAACCAGGAACTTGCTCAGCGTTCGTGCTCGTGCTGACAATACTGTTGAATACTATCGATTTTGGATTTGTTGGCTGTAGAAGAAATTCTCCTCTGAGATGTATATCTATTCTCATCTTTGTGGCTCTTGTGGAGGAGTGCCCTGAAGTAGCTCTAAAGTCTTTCAAAGAAGGTTTCAGAGACTCCTATAACAGTGCCATCGCAACAGTGCCTTCGCAACAGTGCTTCCTATGGCCGAGCCTCTTCCATCTCTTCTTCTTCCTAATTTTCCACCACACCCATCAAGAGCCAAGCTCCCCGCATCCAAACCCCAGTAAATTTCTCCGGCAACTGAGCTCTCACGCGCCGCCAACTCGCCTGTCTTTCCGGCGAGATTTCAGCCACGCGCCGGCGCGTGTGGCCTTTTCCGGCGACTTTTCAAATATTTTTCTTCAGACAGCCTCTTCTCGAGGCATTTCCGAGCCATCCCGTGCCAGTTTCACCAAATTCCGACGACTTTTTCTTTTTTCGGCCTTTAAACCCCAGTTTCTGACGATTGTTTTCTTTGTTCAGTACGAGAAAACCTTCCTCCCTTCATATATACTGTTTTTACCCACTGTGAATACTGTTATTCCGACTATTGAGGCTTTTTCCGGCCAGTTTTTCCGGGACAGCCGCATTTAGAATATGATGGATTGTACAGAGAGAAGCTCTTTTTTCTCTCTAGAATCTAGAAAACTGGAAAACATGTCTTTTATGAAAGCTGTCTCTTGGCCAGCCCTAGAACTTGGGGGAAGATGCCATCGAAAGCTCGACGTAGGACAGGAGCCGCACTTCACGCTGTCCGAGGAGCACACTCTAAGGCGCAAGGGTTTCTTGGAATCTAGTCTCATTGGGTCTTTCTCCAAATGGGTTGGTTCTCCGGAGGCTGTTAGGAACAGGGCAGCAGAGGCATGGAACGTCAAGGACGGGCTGAAAATATCGCAATTGGGGGACACTCAATATCTCTTTCGTTTTGTTGACAAGTCTCAAGCTTCGGAAATTCTTGTCAGAGGAAACAGGTGGTTCGATGGGAACTTTTTAAATCTAGACAGATGGGTAGAGCATGATGGGTGTCTTGACCCTCGCTTCACTGGCGAAACATTGGTGGTCAACATGGCGGGTCTCCCGGTGCATCTTTGGTGTATTGATGTCCCTTGCAGTTTACACGATCTCTCGCGAGTGAGGATTGTGGTGAGGAAAGGGGGCAGAATCCCTGTCTCCACTGTGGTGGAAGATGGCTACTTGAGTTATAGGGTTTGGTTGAGCCCTGAATTTCGCCCTATCTTTATGCCTGTGATAGCGACGGAAGAAAAAGGAAGGTCAGATAGAAGGGAGGGGAGGGAAAATCAGCCTCTGAGGGGAGGGGAGGGTTCACCGGATCACTGGATTAAGCCGAAATCAAACGTTAGATCGAGAAGAGACGGGAGGTTTGAAGTTGGGGGAGGAAGACAAAATTTTAAANGAGGAAGACAAAATTTTAACAGGAGGAGAAGACGTGAATGGGTCAGTGAGGCGGGCTGGAAAGGCAGAATGGGACGGTCCTCTTCTACTTATCATAGGGCCGGGCATGTTTTCAGCAAGTATAGGCCTGGGCCTCCTCACATGGGCCCAGCAACTTTCTCCAAATCCATTAGAATTGATCCTAAGGGGCCCAATTTATTTCAAGCTGCGCATGATAAGTCTCCTAAGCATATGGGAACAGTCGTTCCTCTTCCTCTGGCCAAGGTGCTTCACACAGTGGCACTCCTTCACCGAGCTCTAGTGACATGTTCCCCTCTATGATGGCCGCTGCTGCAGGAGCAGAACCGGCTAAGGATGGTGCTGTTAATTCACGGCCCCCCGCCTCTGATGGACCCGATTCCATCAACCCCTCACCTGCTCCTGGGCTTAGTTGTGCTGAGGCCACACTTAAAGCTTCTTCTTCTTCTAGGGAGATTGTTGAGCATGCCCCAATTGATGTTAGTGTCGGACCAATATTTTCAGTTAATATGCCGCCAAGGGTTCCGTGCTCTCTTCCTCCATGCTACCCTACTGATGGTTCTGGACATTCCTATAGCAACGGGGTGTTAATTTCAGAGGTTGCTGACCCCCAAGGAAACGGTGAGACCCTTTAGGAGGTTAAAACTCCTAGTGCTAGCAATGCTATGGTCTTGTATTCCTCTGGTAGTAGCAAGGAAAGGGCACATATAGAAGAAGCCTGCCCAATTTCGTCAAGGATCGAAGGAGGGGATATGTCTTTTTGGAGGGAGGATAAACTATTAAACTTTGGGAAGTTTCTAGGTGTTGCTGTTGAAGGGAAANAGTATCATGAAGAATTGGGAAGCATTCAGTGGCAACATCACTTACAGGGTGGGAGATGGAAGGAGAATCAGCTTTTGGAATCATAGGTGGTGTGGAGAGGATACTCTGAGGGTCTCCTTCCCCCACGTCTTCAGAGTTTCAACAGATTCGCAAGGAGCATGAAGGGGGGGTTAGTATGGGACCTCTCATTCAGGAGGAACGTGCAAGATTGGGAGATTGCGGAGCTTCAAGTCTTGTTAGCACTGCTATACGAGCAAGACATGCTCCAGCCATCCTGCGACTCTTGGAGATGGGGCTTGCGTGGCGATGGTTTGTTCACCGTAAAGTCCTTTTACCAGAGTATGTTGGTGAGAGAGGAGACCACTTTTCCATACTCCTCGATCTGGATTCCTAGGGCGCCCACGAAGGTGTGCTTTTTTGCATGGCTAGCGGCAAAGGGAGTGATCTTGACTGCTGAAAATCTCCGAAAGAGGGGAATTACACTTGTTAGTTGGTGCTACATGTGTAAAAGCTCTGGGGAAGAAGTTGATCACCTTATGTTGCATTGCCTTGTGTCCTCTGCATTGTGGAGGTCAATCCTGAATCTTTTTGGTGTTCAATGGGTGATGCCAAGCACTGTAAAGGAAATGTTATATAGCTGGGGCGGTTTTCGTAGAAGAAGAAAGCAAAAGGCGTGGAAATTCGCCCCGTTAGCTCTCATGTGGGTAGTATGGGGGGAGAGAAATAGGAGAGCTTTTGAGGAGATTGAGTCTCATTTTTCACATCTTAAGAATAGTCTTTTATCTTTGATCGCTTTTTGGTGCACTCATTTAGCCCCTACTTGTATAGAAGATTGGGCGTCTTTTGTAGAGAATCATGTTCTGATGTAAATTCTCTACGTCTTTGGTATACTTCGTGTACACGGGAGTTATCTCCCTTTTGATTAATACAATTTACCTTATCAAAAAAAAAATGAGCCTAAAACCATGACTAAAACTAGAACCACTCCACCCTCCATTCAATGCCTCAGCAAGTGAGTCAATTGTCTCAATAACCAGATGGTAGGTTGGCTCATTCTAACAGAAGCATGTGAGGTTGCCTATAAGCCAACCAAGCAAATATCACCGGACAACGTTGACCATCTGACAAGTTCTTCATGGGCATTACTTGAGCTTTACCTGTGAGGCCAAACTTCCCAATTGCTGCCCTCATCCCGTCATCATGTACTAAAGAGCTGACATTTCCATGTCTAGCTTCTCAGCCTAGTGCTGGTGGTACTGAGCAATTTTAAGGTGATTAACCATGCCATCACTGAGAATTAAATCCCATATCATCAACTTAAGTAGTATGCTATTTCCAGCTCCATTAGGCCCCACAATTGCTATCCTGGAGTCATCTACACCAAAATCAAGATTATTGTAGATGAGGTTATCAGGTCCTGGTTTTCTAGTTCTCATGGTCTAGCTAACATTGCTAGGCATACACCAGTTTCTAGAACCAAATAAGCAAGTTTAAAGAAGCTTCAATTTTCCCAGGAGTTTTCAATACAAAGAAACAAATAAAAGAAAGTAAATTCTAAAATATAAACAAAAAGAATGTAGAGACCTTCGCTTTCCACGGGAGTTCTCAAGCTCCGCTATAAATTTGGCAAGGCATCGAATTCCATTACCACACATCTGTATTTACACAAAGGAAATATTGTTAACAACCACAAATTTCAGCTCAAATAGATTGAAAGTTGAAATTTAAAAAAAAAAAAAAGTTCTAACAAAAAGGGCGCTTTTCATCGCTGTATAGATGAAGATACGAATGGTCTATCAGGCTTCCTTTCATTCTATATCAGAGAAGGGAAAGGAAAAAACATGGACAAAGAAGGAATGGCCTAACAACATATTCAAGTGATTTTCTGTTTCATGAAAATAGTGTCATTCAATTCTGTTTTTTTATTCCATCAGAAAAGGGTCATATTTAGCTGGAAGCACAATTCTTCTGATCTTTTAAAATCTTTTTCTTTTCCTTGCCAAACAAGAAAAGTAACACTGGAAAAGAAACATAGGCTGCATCCAACTCGTAAGATGAAAAATGAAATGGACAGAAGACTAGATTCAACAGATCTCTATATTATGTCTTAGAAATCATGGCAAGAATTGAGGAATAAACCAAAGTAAAATTGAACAATAGCATTCATACAAGGCACTATTGCAAGTTTGTCTTCCAAAATGAGCAGTTTCCAGGTGCAAGAGCGGAAGGTGTAAGACTTGCGCAGACCTTTTCTTTGAGAAAATTGTAAGTAAGACATGACTACACCTTGAAATTCGGATCTGATCAAGGATAATATTTTCACACAGGTGAAATATATGGTGTTTTGCAGTTTTGCTTCTCTTATATTCCCAATATATAAGTTCCATAAGGTATTAGAGGTCAGTCCAGATTGACCTTAGCATATAATCCATTAGTGTTTTCCCCCCTAAAAAACTATGTCCTTACTATGTTCTCTTTTCTTTTTCAGAATATGAATTTTCACAGTAAGTCCCAAAGGGAGATTGTGATGTGAAAATAACTGGTTTAGACCTCGCTCAAGACAATCCCCAATCCTATAAATATTTTCAGCTCAAGTTCACACTGTGTTCATTTTTCTTTTCTTTTTTGCCAAAAGTGGAACATTTGATGTCTTCTCTCTGACTTGAGGATCGTAACCTCAAGTCCTTTACTTTGTATTTAAAAAATTTCAATACCTCAAGTCCTTTGCTTTCTTTGGCGACTCAAACCCCCAATCTCATGGTTGGAGCCTTGGAGGTGGAGGGTCCTTTCCACAATACTATACCTCCCTAGTCACTAACAAAATTAAATAAATAAATAAAACAAAAAAAGTTGTGTACTCATTCACCACCTATCTCTGACTTAGATCTTGAAAAGGTATGTGTCCCTCTTCGGGGACAACACATTAGTACTAGAAAGTGATTAAATAGGTGTATAATCGTCTTCCTGGGTGTAAAGACGTCCTATTTAAATGATCTTACCTTGCTTGAATGTTGACCAAGTATATTCGTTTAGATTTGCAATTACTTTTCTGGCTTCCATTTATTTAACTAGTTCATCGGGACAGCTCACTTAGAGGAAGTGAAAAGTTCGCACAAATGGGGAGGAGACGACTTAGCTGTTTGCTTCCTTGGAAAAGTATGTTGAATTACCCGCACTGGTGTAATAACAGGTTAAAGATGGGTCGTGAACCTTAGTAGGTACCTACTATTGACCCAGTTACTCCAGCCACATTGAAGAGTTCAGGTAGCATAAACAATTCCTACCCACAACATACGTATACACAACAAAATAAAATAAGTTTACCTAGAAAGCACCAGTATTAAACTAGGCATACACAATAAAGTAATTCTATACATGTGGTGCAGGCCCGGGCAAGAATGTATTGCATAGGGTCCTAGAAAATGAAGACTTCACTAGTCTTCTAGTGTAATGTTGCGTCAACACCCAGTCACTCCAGCCATACTAAAGAGTCCAGGAAGCATATAACATTTGCACACAACACACACATACAGAACAAAGTAAAATAAGTATGCCCCAAAAGCACCTGTAGCAAACTGGGAATAAACGATAAAGCAATTTGTAGCTCAGGCAAGAATCTATTGCATATAGGGTGTCAGAAAGGAATTCTTTAAATCTTCCAGTGGACTCAACTATGGAAATGAACAATCAGAAAGAAACAGAAGTTGGTATGAAACATACAAATAAATTTGAGGACTACTAGATATATGCAAACTTTACAGCCAATTATACTGGTCATCTGATTACATGTCACAGCATTCTAATACTATACCTGAGGCATAATACTTTCCTAGCTTTTACGCAGTAGCTACGTAGAAAACAAGATCCAACAACCAAGGTACTGCTGACAGAAAGTTGGACAAAAAAGAAAAGAAAATAAGAAACATAGAAGATAGATAGAGACTGGATGAAAAGCAAGATAGTTTCAACCACAATTCTCTCCTTATATCTATCATAGATTGGCATAAATGTACACAAACATGCAACTTTTAGAGGTAAAAGATAAGCCAAATTAATCCTTCCAGAGACAGAGATGCAATCAATTTTAAATTTCAGGAACATGCAATATTACCTCTGGCTCGCTTCCATCTGAATTGAAGATCCTCATGGTATAATCAGTGCCATTGACACCCGGCATTGCAAATATCACGCCATCAGCACCAATTCCGAAGTTTCTGTCACATAGTTGCACAGCTTGATCAGGACTGACCTTAGGTTCTGTTGTATCTCTATTGTCAACCTGCTCAAACAAGCATGGATAAGAAGAGCATCTAATCAAACACCGAAAATAAAAGATTAAAGACCAAAGAACTAAACAAAATCATGACTATTTTCCTCTAAGTTCATGCTTCTACGCGTGCTTCTCCAAACACTAAACCATCACAGTCATGGACAGTTAATCATGATTCACAAACATGGGATTCCTTTTATAAAGTGTAAGTATCACAAGCATAGGATTTTTTTTTCTCCAAACCTTAAAATGTAAGCTCATTCAAATAAGTAATATACCAAAATTTCAACATTTTAAACTGACAACTTTTATTTAAACTCTAGCGAAAAGACTCAAACTTTTGAGTCCCAAACCAGTATTTAGGATTTACAAATCCCAACTGTATCGAGAGTTTTGAAACTAGCTCAGTCATTTTCTGCAATTTTGCATCTTTCCAACAAACACCAAGACCAATCAATCAACACCTTGAGATATTACAAACAAGAAAACTAAGAACTTTGAGATATATTAAATGAGAATAAGATAACCTCACCCTGTTCAGTCTTGGCAACAGGAAAAACATAAAATCAGCAACCAACAACGCCTCAATCCCAGATTAGTTGGGTCGGATATTTGAAGAAGGATAAATAGTGATATGACCATTATTTGAAACATTAGTTACAGAGGAAGGACAAAACTACAAACCAGTGAAAAACTGTAACTTTGCATCACAAAATAGAAGCAGTTGACCAAGATAACGAGGAAAAAATGCAGCAAGTAATATCTCTTAAATTCACATCATTTTTCCAAATTCCTAGGAAACTAGAAAAAGCATTATTCGAATTGAGCATTGCATATATATCTGTATGTATTGTGTTTTGTATTACCAATATGAAGTCGTTGCCGAGGCCGTGGTACTTGACGAAGTGAAGAATGCCGCTTTCCTTACGGTCAAGGAAAGAATCTGGAGAAGCTTTCTCCGGAGCTTCGATTCTCATTGAAGATGCCGCACAAATGCGGAAATTAGGGCACTGTGTTCCTCTACCGGCAGCGATTTTGAGATATTTTGGTTGTGCAGTTAAAGGAGAAGAAAATCGAATGGGATTAGCGGAAGCAGAAGCAAGAAAACGACGGCTTGGGGTTGTGAGAGGCACCGTAATTGCGGCGGCGATGGCCATTAGAGTTACTGAGGGAGGAGAGTGAAAAATGAGTTTTGTGGGAAAATGAGTGGGAAACGCATGTAAATTCTATTCCTTTCCTACTATATAGAAGAGCCCTAAAGCAAGCAGTCTGTCCGTCGAGATCCTTGCTTGCCGACCAAGGGCTATTTTGGTCATTTCAGTCTAATTTTGTGTTGAATTCTCTATTATGTCCTTATATTGTTAACGCACGCTCTTAAATTAGCGAGGGTTACATAGTCATTTTATACCTGTACAAACTGCCAGCACTCTCTTCAGTTTCAACTTATTCTCTGCTACATACCCGTTTCTCCATGAAAAATTTTGCTGTACTTTTGCATTCATAGCTTATGTAGGGGTTTGGACTTCTTCGCTGCTCTAACTTTGTCGCATCCACAAAGTACCAGATGGTAGAGCATCCACAAATGGAAGATGGTAATCACTTAGTATCAATTTACTTCCCTGATTTGTACTACGAGCCTTCATCTCCGCTCTTCATCTGGTAGGAATTTGCATTTAGAGAAAAAATATGTTTAACTTCCCCTATTTTGAATTTACATAGTTCCCGAACCGCTGAATGCATGGGTTTTTGCTGCTTCGTTGGAACTGAAGAAAGTACAACGGTGCTTGCTTTGAATTTTAGGCTTTTACATGAATTATTGTGAAAATTGGTGTGGATTTAAGGATTTTTACGGAAATTTTATTGTGAAAATTGGAATGTAGAAATTGTTTTTACTATTCTTTGTGCCAGGAGGGGGGTTAGTTACCTTCTTAGGACTCTGTGTTGAAGATTTTCTGGTATTTGCATCAAAACAGTGTGTTTGAATCTCTAATTTTTGGCAGAATTTTTTCAACTTTAGTGGTAATGCACTGCGTTGGGCAAACCTTTAAATCTAAGTTTTGAATAATGAAGCTTTAGAATGGACTCATTTCCAAGACTGAACCGGAAAATTGGATTACTGTGATGAACACTTTTGTTGGTTATTGCACATTGACACATGTTAACATAATAGCAAATCTGATAGGGCCGGGGGAAGAGATGGCTTTCGCTAATCATGCTGTAAAAGAATTATATTTTCTTGTTGTTGGTGTTCCGCATGTGCCTTAATTATCTTCCGATCTTCTTATTGAACTACCTTCTCCAAATGGTTCACACTATTATAGATTACGTTTACCTGTCTTCCCTTGGATGGACTGCTTTGTCAGTAACGCAACAGGCATTTAGTTATATAAATGAGCTGCTTCGGATGAAAGGGCAAATTAACCAAAGAATGAGACTTCTAAGAGGAAGAACAACTTGGAAGACCCTGCCAAAGTGTGAAATATTTAGCATTATGCTAGGAAGGGATTAAACTAATCCACTTGAACTTACTTAGGAATCTCGAAATGAATTAATTCTAGAAAGGGCAATAAGGCCTATCTTGCTTGACTACGATGATATAAGATGCCTGAGGATAAGGTGAACAAATTCATTGGTAAAGAAGTCATCTCAGTTTTGAATAGTTATTATACACAGTATAATGTTCTACCTTTAGTTTCAAATGATATCATTTTGTTTAATTTCAATTCCAGAAAAAATTTCAAAAGCATCCTATATTTTTTGTAGCGTTGAAAAATGTAAAACAAATGCAACTGGGTTTAAAATATTTTAAGAGAAAGGTATAGTATTGAAAGAAGACGAAAGTAAGGAAAAAAATAGAATTGGTATAGTACCATGGGTCCTAGAGCTTCTACAATAAATAGCTCTCATATAATTTGGTGGATGTGGGTAAGGTTTTTACTTTTTCCAGTGAGTGGCAGAGGTGAGGATTCATTGAGCCAGTGGTCATCTTCTTCTTATCTTTGAACTTTGGCGGATGCTCTGGTAATTACTCATCTTTGTCATCTTGTAAATCTTCTATCATGGCTTTCATCTTCTGTGGGATGCTAGGACGAAACATTTTACTGCTGAAACCATTAAAAGCAATGATTAATAATAATCATGGATGTGGAAGAACTGGACTCAAGCGGAAGTTATTCTCATCCTAAGCGAAGCAAAAGAGTTAATACTCAACACAGTAGATTAATTTTCTATTGACATTGTTAGAAGGAAGTGACGAATCTTTTCTTTGCTGCCTTTGGTTTGATTTTCGTCGTCCGTTTATCTTTGATTTTGGCCTTTTCCTGGACTCCTTTATGTTTCATTTGCCCTGTACATGCCCGACAAAAATTTTCAAAGAATCGAGCTTCTGTCCAGAAGGTGTTCGAACTTTTCTTGCTTTAGATCATTGTGAATAAGAAACACGTTAGGTCATAACAACTTTAAACCCTCTCCTTAGGCATGGAATTTCTGATTTGTCCGTAATTGTACATACCCTAATTCATTTGTCTGAAAATAAGTTGCTTTTGCTTAATTATCCCATATTGTGATTTCTTTTGTGAATGACATCTTTTATGATATGGTGATAGAATGGAAGTAAATTGCGGGGAAGAAATGAAATGATGCAACTTAATTACCTTAAAAGGTATATTTTGTTCCTAAGAGAGATGTTTTGCACATACAAACATAAGTAATTATTTTTAGAAAAACTTCAATTATGAAACTTGGATACTTAGTGGGGAATATAGTAGAGAAAGGCCTTTTGATGTTGTTGCCGCCACTTTTAGAGAATGCTCCATCGTTTACCGTCGTTGAGTAATTATTTTGATTGCTCAAAGTATAACCATATTCTCTGTTGTTTTATGATAATGAGAACTGCCCTATGATGTCAAACCAATTAGCCTTGGCCCTTGGGCCTTTGCTAAAAGACGAAGATTTTTACTTCCTGAAGTTACAAACAGAGAGCAGATGCTTAATGAACGTAATTTATCTTCATAAAAGCCGCAAAGACACCTGCTGCTGATGGTGAAGGATCGTTGTGGACACCCGTTAGCTCGGAATAATCATTGCAAATACTTGCATGCTCCATTAAATCTTACTTCCCTGATATCATTAGTGTGCATATAGAGGATTTACTTAATCAATTGGGGGAAATGGTTTGTCCATCTCTTGAAATTGAACGCAACAATGTCTTTGCATATATCTGACATTTCCTTCTTGATGGAATTATATCTCACCTTGATGTATAAACCAAGCTCTTTTGTAACCGAGTCATTCATTTTAACTTTCTGCCTTACGAGCTTTAACAGAACATCCTAGAGAGAATCTTTAACTACACTGGAGATAACTTGTAACTACTAAAACATGTTCCATTTCTATATTTAGGATTAAAAAAAGTTTGACCCACAGAGCAGACTGAGAATGCAGATATTTTCAGATTTTGACAGTGTTCTAATTGCCTGTCATGTTCAGTTGACTCTGTGCAAATATGAGTCTTCAATTCTTCAATCAGTGCCTTTTCCATTTGTCTACTAGGGTGTGGTGCTCTGAAATTTGCCGTATAACTGATTTCTAAAATACAAAATTGCACTTAGCTGCCAAGTATTATAGTTTTACTTTTAGGTGGTTAGTTGCAGATTATGTTTTTAATCTGAATCCTCTGGCTCTTGAGGAATCTCAAGCCTTTTATTTTTCAGACTCTTCCCTAAATCAAGGATACCTTTAGTCTTTGTCATGCTGTTTTAGAGTTAATCACTATCTTTTGTATGCTATACCTGGTAGCTAACACTTACTGTGTCTTTCCTTTCGGAATATTGAAACTTGGCCAAATAGAAAAATATTTTCCCTTAGCTGCAACTTCTATATTTTACTGATCTGACATTTACTTCTACTTCGATTTGCAGCAAAGGACACTGTAAAAGCGTTTTGGTCCTGCCTTGCATCCTTCTAGACTTTGTCACTATATTTATAAATGCAGTCTCTTATTTATGGAAAGAATAAATATGTAATATAATGTATAACAAAACAATGTAGTATAAGTTTTCATCATATTGGGCCCGGGCGAAGCCCGGGCAATCCCTACTAGTTACTACTATCTAATAAGAGGGAAAGCAAGGAGCTCTCCGTCAACATGCCTGCCTGGCAGAGGGGCATTTTTGACATTTCAACTGCTGCTGCCACGTTCCTAATTTGCCACGTAGAAAGCACCGCTTCAAATTTTGTTACATCTCAATTTTATCTCCGCCGCTTTGCTTTCCTCTGCTTCTGTTTCTTCTTCTCCAGGATTAGTGGTTTCACTTTCTTCACTATTTTTTCTTCTTCTGCAAAAAGATCAGATCTTTGGGGTTTTCGTTTGATATTCAATCTTAAAGTGATTAATCTGCTCCGCTCTCCCTGTGTACATCCTCTTCGCTTCCACAACTGAGTTGGTTAGTTTGCACTTCCTACTGTTCTTTGTCTTTGTTTTATATTTTGTTGTACCGTGTGCTGGTTATTTTTTCAGAAAAAGATTTAAAATTGATGTGATTTATGGCTGTTGCTGTGTATTGTTCTTTTTATATGCTTTACCTAATTTTTTAACCTAATTTCTTTGGCTTTTTCCCATTGCTAAGCCTGAAATTCAACTAATTTTTGCGATGCTTTAGAAACAAAATAAGTATTCGAGCCAAGAGGCGGAACAGACACTCGAAATATGAGCCAATATTTGGGAGCTTGTTTGGGTGAAATTCGTACATGCGCCTCAACGTAGAACTTCTTAAGTTGCTAGTAACATTATCCAACTGTATAAACTGTGCCTGGACCAGATTTCCAGTGAAATTTTCTACAATAAAATTAGCATCATTCACATGTTAAGGCTAATACAATTGGATACCCATAAACAACAAATAAGCCATTTCAGAAAAGCATAAGGGAAAGAAAAAGGAGGAGGAAAACATATCAGTTATGTAATTTGTCATAAGTTATACGTTGACATTTTAAATTAAATTAGCTGGAGTTATCGACAACATTGTTTATTGCGTAGGGTTCTCACAGATTTCAATAATGCAGCAGCTTTCTTTCTTTTTCTCTCTTTTTTCATTTGGTACTGTTTGAGTGGTTAAGTGGCTCCTCACCAGTATATTGATAAATCTACAATTCAAAAAGGTTTGATTACTTGAAGTGGACATCATTAGGATAGTATAATGGAAAATACAATATAAATGTATGGTATAGGGCACCTTAGGATGATTGGCTATAGGGTCCTTATAGTGCAGTCAGCAATAGATTAAGAATATACATAGGCTACACATCATTCACTTGCTAACTCAAATGTAGTTACCTATATTCAACTCGTAACAATCATAAAAAGGAACAAAGAAATTAAAATTAATCTGAGGATACTTCTGTCATTTCAAAACTTTCACAGCTAACACGTGGAGTTCCAATTTTAACGCGTGGAAGCACCGCTGGTTTCTCGACTAAATCTCGAACAACCGTGAAGATCTGGAACTAAGAAAAATCCAGAACATATGCGCTCTCCGTCTTTCCTCTTGTTGTCAAATTTGCACTTCAGTGTGTTTCCTTCCGTCAATTGTATTTTTCCGCTGGGTATCTATTCTACGATCTATTTGATTCATCTTTATCTATATTTCTCTTGAGGAGTATCAATGGATTTTGTTGTCTAGGTGTTTGAGAAAATTCTCCAGTGAATTACCATATCTGTTAAATGTCGTATGCATATTTTTGTCTTCTCTATTTTTTAAGTGTTTGTGATTCATCTATATCTGTATTTCTCTTGAGGAGTATCGATGATTTTTGTTCTCATTTCGCTGTGGCTAAATTATATAATATACCTCCACTTTCTCCCTACTTCTAATTCTTCTAGGTCAAAGTTTTAGAAAAGGCGCGGAAAAAGTTTGCCGCCTCCAGGTTCTCTTTGGGGTACTATATTAGACACTGGACTACGAATGAGGAAGCAAGTGAAATAACAACAAGCTCCTAAATTTAGTTAATTTATAACATTCATACTTTATTCATAAAGGGGGAAAGGAAACATAGATTTGGTGTTAATGCGACTGGAATCTGAAGCTGAGAATGAATATTAGCCATCCTCTTCAGAGAGTTGTAGTAATTTGTTATGCATATTGATTTAGCAACTTTAAGAGAAGGATAAGTGCTTACATAGATAATTGATTTACAGATTTAGAGGTGTAAGTAAGAAAAAGAGATATATGAACATTTACTGCATATGAGCTTGCTAGGGGAAAGAGTAATAGCACTTCAATTTGCATATATTACCTATATGGCAAACTTATCAAAAATCACATATTTTAGATTTGTCCATGGTTTTTGCACCTTTAAATTACCACTAAGTTCTGCTAGGTTCCTTCTAAGGGTACCTATTAATTTCATATATGTTGTCACTTCAAAGTTTTATAATTTTAGATTCAGTTTTTCAATTTTAGCCCTCCTCTGGACACATCCGACAAAGAATGAAACTAACATATCAAAATCAAGCACATATTTATTCATAATCAACAAAGCATTACTGATGTTGTCTTGTTTCCTGATGTACCAACCTTTACTATTTTAATTAATGTTCATTTTAATGAATAAGCTTGACTACTTGGGGGTTCAGGAATTAGTGAAATTTGAATTTAAGAAACTTTCCTATAACTATTCGTGTTACATAGGGGTCAGACAGTAAAACAATATTGTTTCTCCATAGTTTTTAAGTTAAAAAAGTTAGAAGTTCTAATTTTTCAAATTGCCAGATAGCTTTCCTAGGAGTAGGCTTTACTTAATTCTTACATGAGAAGAATGGTAAATTTAGAACCTAACATATTTATAATGGAATAAATTTGTTGCAGCGTTGTATTGCATTTAGCTGCCTATGTATTGTCAGTAGAATAAACAATAAAATGTGCTGCTTAAAGTCTACTGAGGCACTTTTTGGTTTGATTGTTTGAACTATTTAAAAAGCAGATATCTCACAGTAATAAGTGTGTGAAGAAATGTCTTCCAACCAAAGGAACAAACGTACATGTACAGAAGATACAAACTGTGAAAAGAAATCAAGGCGACGTGATACGTATGGAAAGATAGCAGCTGATCAAAAAGAGGCAATGTTATTACAACGACGTACCAAAAAAATAGAACTAGAAAAATGCAATGATTCCATAAAATCAGTTGTTGAGTGCCCATCTGAAAGGATGAAGTCTCAACGTGACACAATGTTGTCAAAACAAAGTCCACTTACTATAAGAGAGTCTTCTTCTGCTAATGTCAAAGGTTGGAATGACATATTGGGTTTTCTCTACTTTTGTTAGTTTACCTGAATAATAACTTACTGTTGAATGTACTGCATTCATGAAGTTAGTACTTTATCAAGTTCTTTTAATAAAGAAACAAGTATCTCTCGTCCATTCTGTGTATTTGAAAGAGGTAAAACTATAACCTCCAGGTTTATCTTTTGTTACCACGTCATAACTTAGGCGTACATCTAAATTATAAGAAATTTTTATCAGGATCAACATCTGGAACATGTAAGGGTCAACAAGATGTCTCCCCTGAAGTTATTTCAAACACAGGTTAGTATTACTTTTGTGTTAAAGTAACATTATGCATTAGTAAAATTTATCTCAGCCTTTATTTTTACCAATTCTCATAACATGAATATTCACTTACTGTGAAATGTGTTTCGTATTTTACGCAGTAGGCAGCAGCCATGAAACTCCTAATTTATCAACTGTTTTTGATAAAGGAAAAGACGTCGGGCACTCATTCTGTGGGTTTGAAAGAGGTAAGGCTGCAACCTCTGCCTTTAACTTTGTTACTTCATCATGCCATAGGCGTACATCTAAATTAAAGAAATTGATACACCAGGATCAACATTTGGTAAACCTAAGGGACAACAAAATGCCTCCACTGAAGTTGTTACCAACAAAGTTTAGTCTTAATCGTTCAACTATCATTACTCATTATTTGAATTTTTAGCCAGTCTTTAATTTTAACATTAGTTACAACATACAGGTTATAGATTGGACAAAATAGGCTATACGAAAATTAATGAAAACAACTTAGATTATGTACACTTAAAAGCCGTACCAAACTGTAAATTTTGCAATGCAAAAAGGTTTCAGTATGAACCACCTGGATTTTGTTGCGGTAGTGGGTCACTAAAGTTAATTTCATATCAGCTCCCCCAAGAATTATCAGATCTTTATTCAGGAAATGCCGAAGAATCTAGGCATTTTCGAACCTACATTAGAACATATAATAATATGTTTGCGTTTACCTCACTTGGTGTAACCAATGATAAGGACTTAGCAAGGAGATATCATGGTATATATACATTTCGAGTTCAAGGGCAAATGTATCATTTCATACCTGATTTGCTTCCTTCTGATAAAAAAGCAAAGAATTTGCAGTTATACTTCTATGATAATGAAAATGAACTTGCTAACAGAATGGCCTATTCAGTGAATATTAACGAATCAATTGTCAGAAGACTTATGAATGTTCTCTCAGTTAATCCATATTCAATCTTTCTGAAATATTTTGCAAATGTTCCGAAACTATCTGATTCTTATATTGCGCTTAAATGTGATTCATGTTTAGATCAACGTACATATAACTTACCAACTGCAACAGAGATAGCTGGAATATGGGTTCAAGATAATCCTGCCGATATTGTCTCTACACCACATATTCGAATCTATACCCATAGTAATAAGACACAATCTGTAAATTATTATTACGGATGTTATGATCCCTTGCAATACCCATTATTATTTCCTTATGGCCAAAACGGATGGCATTGTGGTATTAAAAAAATTACACGAAGAAATCAACGTTATTGTGAACATGAAGAATTACCAAGTGTAAAGAACATGTGTTCCATTGATGGATTTCTTGACATGGAAGATCAAGTCATGAAAAAAGGAAAACGAAAAAGAGAGACAGTTTCTTGCCGTGAGTATTATTGTTACAAATTCCAAATAAGAGAGAATGAGAAGAATGAAGTGTTACATTGTGGAAGATTATTTCAACAATTCATAGTAGATGTGTTCATAAAGCTAGAAACACAAAGATTAGATTTTTATTTTTTTAATCAAGATTTGTTTCGAATAGATATACTACAAGGAATAATTGATTTTCTAAGACTTGGTGAAACAGAAGCTTCCAAAATTGGAAAAAAAATATTTCTCCCTGTTACTTTCACAGGAGGACCAAGAGATATGCATCGGCGTTATATGGATGCTATCGCATTAGTGCAACGTTTTGGAAAACCTGATCTGTTTATAACTATGACATGTAATCCATCTTGGCCAGAAATAAAACAACATTTGTTATCAACTGACGAAACTCAAAATAGACCTGATTTAATATCACGAGTATTCAAAGCAAAAGTAGAAGAATTGAAAAAAGATATTTTGAAAAGAAAAATCTTTGGAAAAGTTGCTGCTTTTATGTATACTATTGAATTTCAAAAGCGTGGTCTTCCACATGCGCATTTTCTGATCATACTTGAAGATGAATATAAATTATTAACACCTGAATCTTACGATAAGTTTGTCTGTGCTGAACTACCTGATCCTAATACTGAAAAACATCTTCATTCACATGTGCTTCAACATATGATGCATGGACCATGTGGTGATTTAAATCCTACAAATTCATGTATGGGAAAAAAAGGCCTCTGTAAATTCAACTATCCGAAAGATTTTGCTGAGCAGACATCTAAAGGAAAAAATTCATATCCAATTTATAAGAGACGAAATACAGGAAAACTTGTACACATAAGGGAACAATATTTGGACAATTCATGGGTTGTCCCATACAGCCCTTACCTGCTTTGTAAGTTTGATTGTCATATAAATGTTGAGGTTTGTTCGGATATTAAAGTTATGAAATATATTTACAAATATATTTGCAAAGGACATGATAAAATAGCTTTTTCTGTACATGGCAACGAAGAAATAGATGAAATAAAAGAATATCGATCTGCTAGATGGATAACACCTCCAGAAGCGGCATGGCGCTTATTTGGTTTTCTTATTAGTGAAATGACTCCAAGTGTCTATCATCTTCAGTTACATTTAGAAGGGCAACAATTTGTTTCTTTTAGAAGTACCGAAAGTGTGAATAGAATCTTGAACAATCCAATGATTAGAAAAACAATGTTGACTGAGTTTTTTGCAATGAATAGCACTAATGAACATGCTAAAGATATGCAATTATTATATAAGGAATTTCCAGAATATTTTGTATGGTCTCCCGGATATAAAATGTGGACACGTCGGCAAAAATGTAATGTAATTGGACGTGTTGTGACTTGTCATCCAACAGAAGGGGAAAGATATTATCTACGGTTACTATTGATGAATGTGAGAGGACCAAAATCATATGAAGATCTTCGCACGGTTAATGGGGTACCCTGTAGTACATTTAGAGAAGCTGCAGAAAAAAGAGGATTACTATACTGTAATAATAGTATAATTGAATGTATGTTAGAGGTTGTAAGCTACCAGATGTCGTATAGTTTGAGACGTTTATTTGCTACGTTATTAGTATATTGCAACCCCGTTAATCCAAAAGAATTATGGGAAATGTTCGAGGATTCAATGTCCGAAGACTTTAGGCTTTTCCCGAATATTACATCACAAAGTGTTCGGCATAACGTGTTAAGCCATATCAACGATATCTTACATTCTATGGGCCATGACATAAATGAGTATAAGTTTGTGCTAGAAAATATTAGAGCTTCTGTCACTGCAAAAGATGCAAAAGATGTTCATTTCGAAAGAAACATAATTGTTAGTGAAGAAGACTTGCTCTTACCAAGGAGATTGAATGCTGAACAATTGCGGTCATATAACATAATAATTGATAGAATATCTTCTAAGCAATCAGGAGCTTTTTTCATTGATGGTCCCGGCGGAACAGGTAAAACTTTCTTATATCGTGCATTATTAGCAACTATCAGGTCTAAGGGATTTATAGCCTTAGCAACTGCAACTTCTGGTGTAGCAGCTTCTGTCCTTCCAGAAGGACGAACTGTACACTCGCGTTTTAAAATGCCAATAGACATAGATGATAACTTTTGCTGCAATTTTAGTAAACAAAGTTCTCTCGCAACCTTGATTCGAGATGCAAAATTAATTGTATGGGATGAGGCGTCAATGGCCAAAAAAAACATGATTGAAGCTCTTGATGCACTTCTTAGAGATATTATGGATGTGAATAGATTATTCAGAGGTAAAGTTGTTGTATTTGGAGGTGACTTTAGACAGACTCTTCCGGTCGTTCGAAACGGTATAAAAGAAGATTTTATTCAAGAAAGCTTATTATATTCTAACATTTGGAATGAATTTGAAAAATTGCATCTGTCTGAAAATATGCGTGCAAGAACAGATCCATCTTTTTGTGAATATTTACTTAGGATTGGAAATGGAAAAGAAGCAACTAATTGCGAAAACAAAATTGAGATTCCTAATTCTTTTGTTATTCCTTTTACCACGGAAGAAGAATCTTTAGATGCATTATTTAATATAACGTATCCGGATTTACATGCATTTTCCCCTGATTCATCCCTGTTTACTTCTCGTGTTATTTTAACGGCGAGGAATGATTTTGTGAATGAAATAAACAATATGTTAATCACTAAATTCCCGGAAAGGGCTACAACATTTGTTGCAATTGATGAAACTATTGAACTGAATGATCAAAGTCAATTTGAAGATTTCCTACATAGTTTAGATCCTCCTGATCTACCTCCTTATAAGTGAACTTTAAAGGAAAATTGTCCAGTTATATTGTTACGAAATTTGAATCCTTGTGAAGGTTTATGCAATGGTACTCGATTAAAATGTTGTGACTTTAGAACACATATCATAAGTGCTAAAATTGAAAGCGGTGACTTCAAAAATACACATGTGTTTATTCCAAGAATACCATTGTTAGCATCACAAGATGAGAAAATATCTGTTCAGTTTAAGAGAACACAATTTCCTTTAAGATTATGTTTTGCTATGACAATAAATAAAGCTCAAGGTCAAACATTAGATTTTGTTGGAATCTATTTACGTGAACCTGTTTTTTCACATGGCCAACTTTATGTTGCTCTATCAAGAGCCAAAAGTTCAAATTGTGTCAAAATACTGATTCGTCCACCTACAACAGACGATAATGATGATCATTCAACACATAATGTAGTGTATGATGAAGTTATTCAAAAGGCCTTCTCGTCGGTGACCTAGTGATGCCTTTGATTTTGTTAACTTCGTGGAACTTTTCTCTTAGATTCTTTGCTGCTACTAGAAGAAAAATACATTCAATGAAAGATACTTTGCTTTTACAATTGAATAAAAAATCAAATTTTTAACTCCGCCTGCAACACAACCGGTCCCAAGCCCGGACAAAGGAGGAGGGTTTTTCAGTTTCTTAGAAGTTAGATCCTTCACTACTGTGTTTTCATTTACTGATTCAATTCTTCTCTGCTAAAATAAAGTTGCCTCTTATCAGCCAATTCTTTCCAATATAATTGTTACACTTTTACTACAAATTTCCATGGTTAATTGAATGATCTTCTATTTTGATGCTTTGGTGTTCCTTTACCACTTAATATACCTATGATTTTGTATTGAAAGTATGTCAAAGAGATGCTATAAAGTGAAATATTTGCACATGTTGCTACTAAAAAGTTCTAACCAAGTTGTAATAGAGTAACTTTATTTTCTACCTCAGACATTGTTTGATTTCTTCATTTGGTATTAGATATGTATGTTCCAATGATCTGATCAGTTTTACCACTCAATATTATCCAATTGGTTGGACAATTTCCAGATCTTCTTTAACCTCTTCATCATTTTCCGACAACTATTATGAATACATGAGCATCCAGTATGATGCTCATGTGATCGTCATCTTTTTCACACATCAAAGGTTTTGACTACAAAAGAATAAATATCGTACTCTGTGAACTGACCGATTCTGCAGAAATGCAAAAAAGATGCACATACTTCTTAAAATGTTTAATGACTTCTCTCTGTTTCCAACTAATTCCTTCAATGAAAAGTGTGATGGTACATTGGTACTACATGTGATTTTTTGTTGCATGTTTTACCTTCTCTTAGTGGTAAATGGATCAATTTTGGCTAAAAGGTGGAGTATTTATTGAGATTTCTACTGATTCTTGTAACCTAAATCTATAGTAATTTTAGAAATTGAAGTTTCCATTATATAATATGCAATTTGTTTGCTGATATTAAAATGAAAATGGAAATTGTACTTTGCTTTAGGTCATAAAGGGATCACTTGGCAGAAAGGTTACTTCTTTATTGAGAATACATTTTCTTTTCTGGGATTACAATTTGTTATGGCAATTTTCTACCTAAATCCGTAGTATATCTACAGGTTTAAGTGTCCCTGTGTAATCTGTAGTTTTCTTGGATACATACCAGTTTTATATTGCTTCTATGTATGTATATATATATGTATGTATGTATGTACATGTGTCTGTGTGTGTGTATGTCTCTATTGGATCAACTGTTTTCCTTTTTTTGTTCTTGTTGTTATTGTTACTGTAATCTGGTTATTCTTCACCAAACGCAAACTGTTCTTACCAAAGATCTGAAAGCTCGATGTATCTGAGGTAATGAGTCATTCTTGCTTTATATGTTTCGATTCATTTGCTTGAGAGCAATTTCTGACTAAAGTTAATCTTTTCAGTTCTCTTTGTTCGGCGAGGCAATATCTACTGGTCAAATTGCCGAGTACATTGGAGGAAAAGGGGTAAGATGATGGCATCACTAGGAATTCTACTTCTCCTTTTCTTTTGCTTACCTATTTTGTACAAGTGGACACTCAAATTTCTTCTCCTAATTGCAGTCTTTAATGATAGCTGCTATACCTAACATCATTGGTTATCTTTCCATCTAATTTTCCACAATAAGACAATTCTGCTTTGTTGCTAATAAAAAAATTACTACTGGTCATATAATGCATCAAACCTACACTATTGTAATATTTCTGCTTCCCTTTCTGACTCAAATATTGATCCAGGATCCGCCTTTCTTATACATGGGAAGATTATTGGAAGGTTTTGGAGTCAGCATAATCTCTCACACGGTAAACATTAAGTTTGCTAATTCTCTTCTTTGTTACACTGTATAAGTTATTGGAGATGTTAAAAGTGTCAAATTTGCTGTTTCCCATGTTTATGCTTATTTCAGGTTCCTGTATATATTGCCGAGTGTATGCTTAGTGGCTTCATTCTCTTTAACCAAGGTTATGCCTGTTAGGTAAATCACATGCTAACTTTCCTGTCATATAGCTCTCGGTTACAGTTGGGATCATGTTATCCTATTTGCTGCGACTTTTCGTTAATTGGAGGCTGCTTGCTGTTCTAGATAATGATCAGTTCTCTTTACTCATTTAAGATCTACAGTTCATAGATGTAAGTTTCATTTCGTTTCCTGATGAATGGTATTCTTTGACTTAACTTCCTCGCATCTGCGATGAGCTCAAATTTCCTTCACACAGAGATGTGTTTTATACTGATCATGATGGTAGCTCAGATTTTCTTCATTTAATGATGTGTTTTACAGTATTAAAAGCTCTATAGCAACTGAGAGCAAATATTTAGGTTGTTCAAATTTGCCGTGACTCAGAAATGAGCATTAAAGTGGTTTGTTTGGTCTTACCAAACTTAGACAAGTTCAGGTGAGCCGATTATGAGTCAACCTCAAGTTGTTATCCTGTGTATTTAGTACGCTGAGTATAGTAAATTAAGAAAACACACCCATGGAAAAGAAAAACAAAAGGAAAAGTGTGTTCAAGCTTGACTACTTATTAAAAGAACAAATTGTTTAAGCTTAGTTTGATGGGTTAACCAGATTAGCTACGTTGAAGTACCAGCTAATCAGCTAGTGAGGATTTGCAAATTGACTCAATTCTCAATTTATACACTGAATTCAGTTTTGCTCAGTACTCAGTATCTATCTTGTTGCATCCTTTATCCTTAGTTTTTCCTATTTTACATCTGTGTACTTATGTGGTTTTCAAAATGTAGCATACTACTGCTTGCTCAAATCCTTCTTAGGCATAATGTTTAACTACACATTAAAGTAACAAAATCATGCCTACACCAAATGTGCTCCATGATCCATAAGTGTTTTCATGAAAATTTGATCCCTAAAATTATGTCAATAGCTAATTTGTTTCACTGTTATGCTTTATTTTACATAATAGTTTATCATCTTATTGACAACGATTGTAACTGCTGCTATCTTTTAGGTCCATATCACCTGGTACTATTTTACATAATAATTTATCATCATCATCATCTTATTGACAGCGATTGTACTGTGTTTTATTTATTTCATTTCATTATCTTGGGGGGGAAACGGAACAATGAGAAGGAAAAAGATGAAGTTTTTCTATTGTTGAAAGCTTTATGTATGACGAGAAAATAATTTCTTTTGGGCAAAACCTAAACAACTACTTCCTTCCAAATATAATTAGTATTGACGACATTGATTTCAGCAACAAATATCTCTTCAATTGGCAAAAAAAAGGGTTAACTAACATCAGATGCCAAATTTTTTCGTGTCGCCTATCTACTAGAAATGGCGCCACCAATCATCGGGTAGAAGTGATCTCAAAGATCATTCTCATCATTCTACATATTATCACTGTATCTCTATTTGCAATAGTGTAGCTTTATTCACATTGGGCCCGGGCACAGCCCGGGCTATCCTTACTAGTACCATATAGAAGAGCCATAAAGCAAGCAGGAGACCGTCGACATCCCTGCTTGCCGACAGGGGGCAGCTTGGTCTTTTTACAATTCTATGCTAGGTAGAATTTCTGTTGGGCCCCTATGTCTACTCTTTTGTGTTGTTCGGTGAAGTTCTAAATAGGTAATTTCCGCTCCATCTCTTAAGGCCACCGCTTAATAATTTGCTTTTCTCGCTCTTCGCTTGTCTACAATTACCTTGGCTTCTCCTTCTTCATCGTTTAAACTCTTTGTGTCTAGAACAGAGCATCAATTCTTGAAATATAAAGTGATACTTAAATTGGGGTTTCTACGGCGTCTTTTCACAGTTTCATAGTTGCTCCATTAAGATCGTGTAGTCGAATGGTTAGTTTTTACTGTTCTATTTTATTTTCTTTTATCAGTACTGTGATTGTTTTATTTTCTTTTGTGTTCGAAATGTCTTTCTAATTTTATCCTGATTTTTTGAAACTCAAAAAATTCCTTGAAAAGAAATTCGGGTTTTCGCTGATTATCTGACCATTCTCCGTTCTTGTTTGTAGTTAAAGATTTGGTCAGTTTGACCAAGAGTTAATAATTGAGGATCTTACAATATATGAGCTTGTGACTGACTTGGATTTCAGCCACTATTTTTTATCTGATTCTGATTTATTTCCATTTTGTTATCCTGAGTTTACATGAAAAAGACGAGTTCTTCATTATTTGGAGCTTTTTGTGTTATCGCTGCTTATTTTCTAGATGTCGTAATTTTTGCTTCATAAAATTTAGTTACTAATCTGACTGATGCTAGGAAAATTTAAAATCTAACAATAATCTAACTAGGGGAAAGTATATCATAGATGCGATGTTCTATAATTAAGAACAAACACGTTTTGTAGAGAAAAATTAACCAGAAGAGTTACTTCATCATTGGAGTTGTGTTATATAGATAGTTGGTAGTATGTAAGAATATTGAAAAGGAAAAGATAATGATGGAAAGAAGTTTTCTGCTTTTCCCCGTGCCTTTACATTGTTATTTACATAGTATATAAAAGAATATAAAAACAGCTACTTTATTCAATAAATGTACTATTCTTATTTGTGGATCACGTGCTCACATGCACTAAAGTGAAAATTGGACAATGGACAGCTACTTTGTATCAAAAGGAGATAAAGAGTTTTGGTCAATATGACCAAGCTTTTGTGCAGACCAAAGCTCCAATTTCTCTTTCCTTGTCTCTTCTTCTTCATCTTCAACTTTCTCGGTCATGGAGTCTGGTTTCAAACAACCAGCTCCAACACCCCCCTTAAGTTGGAGGGGGGTGTAACCACACCCAACTTGCCAATAATGGAGTTGTGTGCCGGTCCTGCTAAGGGTTTAGTAAAAATGTCAGCCACCTGAGAACGTGAAGGAATGTAAGAAAGAGAGATGATTCCGGCCAAAAATTGTTGTCGGACAAAGTGACAATCTAACTCCACATGCTTGGTACGCTCGTGAAAAACTGGGTTTTTCACGATGTGAATGGCGGCCTGACTGTTGGAGAAGAGATCTATTGGCAATGGAGGG